GCCTATACATTCATTGAAATCTCCTGTAGAACCACCCACACCCATGTTCTACCCCACTGATTTCATTGGCCTGGGGTAGTATGGGGCTTTGGAATATTTCAAGATTCCCCAGGTGATTCTAAATCAATGAAGTCAAAATTTCTGGAGTTCCGGGCCCTGCTCCCCGATTCTAATATACATTGGTATTGACTCAATAGTCAAGAATCAACTGCATCCTTGGCTACAAGGATCGCTCTGCTTTAGAATTCCCAAGTCTACCTCCTCAGCCCCAACTTCTCACCTCCATGTCTCCTACTGCCTAGAGAACCTTCCTGCTTACATGAAGGAACTTCAAAAAAATTCATAGGAAAACTATATGATCTTTTAATTCCATTTTCCATGTGAGTTTTAAAGTCCCTCTTGTTTGTTCCCATCACATCTAACTCAGCACTTCAATACGTAGAGGGCCCAACCTGCCTTGTAGAGCAAACAGTACACACCTGTCTGGATAGTATATTCTGGGATTTATCCTTCATCTGGTGTGGTACTGCGGGTTAATGCTATCGGATGGCACCTGAGTGTTGTCCAACAACGTGTTGGTGTTGTGGTTATGCAAATGGCTCAGGATGAAGCAGTATTTCATTCTGTTGGGCATGGGGTCATCCTAAGTCAGAGCTGACTTCACAACAACTAACAACAGAGATGAGCACAACATAGCTCTGACCTTCAAAGAACAATCACTCTCCCCATGTCGACAGCTTTCTCCAAGGCACACTGCATGCTCTCTCCCTCCGGAGAGATTCACCCTGTACGGCCTCATTAAGAGAAGGCCTACAAAAGGGGTGGGGAATGTCCAGTCATATAAGGCTGGTGAAATCTAGAAATCATTTGGTTCGACTCTGACAAGGCAACTGCAGTCTGAGCCATCACACTGTTATTAAGTGCTGCCTAGTTAGTTCCAACTCATAACGACCCTGTATAGGGTTTCCAAGGAGTGGCTGGTAAGCTTGAACCACTGACCTTGCGGTTCAAACAGATCATGCAGTCCAGCACATTAACCCACAGCACCATACCAGGACTCCAGCCATCACAATGTTAAGTGCTGTCGAGTGGAATCTGACTTATAGTGACCCTGTGTAGGGTTTTCTAGGAGCAGCTATTGGGTTTGAACTGCCATTGTGATTCAAACCAACCTTGCAGTCCAGTGCATTATCCTGCAGTACCATCACATTTGTTGTTGTTAGGTGCCATCAAGTCAGTACCGACTCATAGCAACCCTATACACAACAGAACGAAACACTGCTCCAGCCATCACATTAGGGGTGAATTAATTAACTATTTGACCAAAGATAGTGGGCTAATTTTTAAGTTGATAATTTGGTCTGGTCTGCAAATGTTATAAATTTTGGCAGAAAAAAAGTTCCCCACCCCCTGGCCTACAACAAAGAAAGCTGTTTAATTCAGGTTAATTCAGTATCTCCCAACTGTTTAGCTACAGAACCCTCCTCTCACGAGCTCCTTGCAAAGTTACATCCATTAACAGTCCACAGAATGCCGAGGACAGCTGGAAAGCAAGCCAGTCACCTCTGCTTCTTTGCACCCATAGCCTACTGGTCGTAAGGTTACCACGTTTCTCCTGCAACATGTCTCCACTGTCATCACCCTAGATCCATCGGACTCATACTCCTGACACTAGCACCCCTTCTTGGCTGCTCTCTTGACCCCACCCAGGTCCATCTGTCCTACACCTCTAACACTACCTAAACCTCTCCCAATACTGCCTCCTTCAAATCGGGAGGCAATAATAGAGCAGGGAGGTTAAGCTCTTAGAATTAGGAGTAGGACATGATTTAAAGTGCCTGATCTGCCACCGACATGCGCTGTGCATGTCACTTAACTTGCTTAAGCAAGTCACTTAACCCAAGTCTTACTTTCCTCATCTATAAAATAATGGTTTAACAAAAGGAATGAAAGCAAATACTGTTGAACGGTAATGCACGGAGGAGATTGTAATCATTGCAATGAAACGATGGTGTAAAGCTGATGTTCTCCGATGTAAACTATCACTCAATTCACAATAAAAACATTTAATAAATTTAAAAAATGGTTTAATTCACAATACACTCATAGGTGGCTGTAAAGAATAAATGAAATAATGCACTGTGAACTCAGCAAAAGCCTACCCATTCCTCACTGTCCATGGCCAGCTTCCTTCAAAGCATCCCTGAACCCCACGCTGTCCCCTTTCCTAACCCAACGTGGCTGGGTTGCAATTCTACTGGTTCACCACCTACTGCTCCCTAAATGCTTCCTGCTGGTCTTACAGACTCCCTAAACCCAAAGGCCATGTCTTCTGCTTCCTCTTAATCACTCCCTCCTGAAGCTGCCTGCCTCCTTGATCTTCTTGATCTTGTTCACCTGCTTTCCTGCCATACTCATTAGATCCCCACACATCTTCAGGGCAGGAGCCTTGCCTCCTCTGTACAGTTATCTCCAGAGCAGTGCCTGGCACCCAGTAGGCACTCAACCTGGTTTGCTGAACAAACCTCCTGCTAAGCACTTTGTCTGTTGGCACTTAGCCAATGCTTGGTGACTAACAGAGTTGGACCCCCTAACCAAGGAGAGCAAGCACTAGGCTGTATGAATGCTGCCAACAGAACGTGTTATGGACACAGCAAGTGCCAAAGCAATCGAAAGACCTCTGTGGTGGCAGAGTTATTCATCAAATTCTACACAAACAGGCCAGGCAAGGGGTCAGACTCACTTGGCCGGAAAATGCCTATCATCGTCCAATTCTTTCTGTCTCCAAAACAATGTGGGAGAATGTTAGCAACTCCTTTATAGAAGTTCTCTCACTCTCTACTGCTGCACAGTACAGTGGATGAATCAAGTGCTAGGTCAAACACACCAGGGCCTGAATCCCATGGGATTAATAATTACCAACTCATAGGGTCACTGGAAACATTATATACAAGGGAACTTTAAAACGTTTACGAAACTCTTACCATAAACGGCCTGAGGTAATCTTACAAAATGGATCCATACTCACTTGACCCAGAAAACCCCACAAAACCATGCAAATCAAAAGGTTTCAATGCCTGGGTCCATTATAAGAACACCCGTGAAACTGCCCAGGACATCAAAGGTATGCTTATCTGAAAACCACCAAGTTTCTGAAAGATGTTACTTTGCAGAAGCAATGTGTACCATTTCGATGTTACAATGGTGGCATTGGTAGGTGTGCCAGGCCAAACAGTGGGATTGGACACACAGGGCCAGTGGTCCAAAAAGTGCTGAATTTTTTATGTACATGCTTAAATATGCAGAAAGCAATGCTGAACTGAAGGGTTTAGATGTGGATTCTCTGGTCATGGCGCACAGGCAGGTCAACAAAGCCCCCGAGATGCCTATAATACATACCCTTGCCACACTGAGATGATCCTCATTGAAAAGGAACAAATTGTTCCTAAATCAGAAGAGGAGATTGCACAGAAGAAAAAGGTATCTCAGAAGAAATTGAAGAAACAAAAACTTACAGCTCCAAAGTAAATTAAGCTTAAAATAAAATGCAAATAAAGTAAAAGTAAAAAAGAAAAAAGTTCATGGAAAAATTCTAGTACCTTTTCATTCCATTTTTCATGAAGCCCCCTTATAGACCCTAAAGGCAATGCCACACATTGCTCTTGAGTTGACTGGTTCCTGGCAATCTCATGTGTTTAGAGTCCAGCTATGATCCACAGGGGTTTTCAATGGTTGAGTTTTTCATAAGCAGCTCACTAGGCACTTTTTCCAAGGTGCCTCTGGGTGGATGTGCTGTGAAGTCAGTTCCGTTTCATAGCAACTCTCTATAGGGTTTCCAAGGAGCAGCTGGTAGGTTTGAACCACTAACCTTGTGGCTAGCAATCCAGTGCTTATCCTACAGTGACACACCAGGACTCCCCACTTACTCATGTTGTTGTTAAGTGCCATCGAGTCATTCTGATTCATAGTGACCCTGTATAGGGTTTCCAAAGTGCAGCTGGTAGGCTTGAACCACTGACCTTGTGGTTAGCAGTACACTGCTTAACAGCACCACAACTAGTTACTCATAGTGGTGATGGTGGTTATGTGCTGTGGAGTTGGTTCTGACTCATAGTGACCCAGTATAAGGTTTCTGAGGCTGTAAATCTTTATGGGAGCAGAAACCCTCATCTTTCTCTCGTGGAGCAGGTGGTAGATTCGAACCACTGACCTTGCAGTTAGTAGCTCAGCTAGTAATTCACTACACTACCAGAGTTCCTTACTTACTCACAGTGGTGGCGGTGGTAGTGGTGGTTATGTGCCGTGGAGTCAGTCCTGACTCATAGCGACCCTGTACAGGGTTTCCAAGGCTGTAAATCTTTACAGGAGCAGAAAGCCTCATCTTTCTCCCATGGACCGGCTGGTAGTTTTCAATTGCAGACCTTGAAGTTAGCAGCCCGAGTCATAACCACTACGGTACCAGAGCGCCTTACTTACTGAGTTGTTGACGTTAAGTACCATTGAGTCGGAGTAATCACTTGTTAAATGTTAGTTCTACCATGTTCTCTCTCACCCTACCCTTAAAGTGAAGTGGTGGTAGGTTTTAATCTGCCAGATAATAATAAAATACATCATCATGTGTTATAGAGCAATGGTTCGCAACCCAGGTTAATTTTACACTCCCCCAATCCTCCAGCAATTATTTGGAGACAATTTTTGTCAAGAGTACGGGAAGAGGTGCTACTGACCTCTAGTGGGAAGAGGCTGAGGATGCTTCTAAATATTCTATAATCACAGGTCAGTCCTCTACAACAAGGAATTGCCCAGTCCAATTGTAAACTGGTGCTAAGTTTGAGAAACCCCATTACAGGGTAAAAGAACTCAGCCATCCTGACCCCTTTCTTTCATATTTGCCCACGCAGCCTTCACCACTGCTTTCTTCAGATACAAACATCAGAAGCTAAGCCTGAGAAGGCTCACCTCTTGTCTCTTACCGTAACCCTCTATATACACATACAAACCTTCCAATGCCGGTGGACAGGATGGCAGTGGAGGTCTTCAGTTCCTCATAGAGATCGGCGCCATTGAAGGGGAAAGCTGAGAACTGAGCCAACAGCACCCGCCTCACAGCAACCAGGGCCTGTCAACCAGGCAGGGACAACTCAGGATCCGCCCCAGGCACCTCCATCCAAAGCAGCCCACAATGAACAAAGCAGTCCAGGGTTTCAGACCTCCCCATCAACACCTGGGAACCCTTGGCTCCCCTGGCTTAGAGATGGCTATTTTAAGACACCCTGGTTTGGAGACTGGGTATGATCCAGCTCACCTTATAAGACAAGCCACATTTCTGGGCTACCTCCTCCAGATCTGCAGAAACCAGGTCCACCACTGAAAACAAAACACTTGTCAGGAAGGGGGACCTGTTGCTTCCCACACTTGGTTCTTGTTTGTAAACGAGGTAACAATTCTATCTCAGCACGTAGTGCGTGTGGAGCTCGGTGTAGAAGGGGCTCTACACTCGCTCTCCAGAAGGGGCGTGGGCAGCCGAGAGAGGAAGCGCCCTGCAAGCACGCCAGGGGCGGCCAGGGCTGTGGCTGTAGCCCCCGGGTCCCGGGCACGCGCACCAGTGTGCACTCGTGGTCACCTGTCTTGATTCCATGGGTCCTCAGAAGCTGTACCATATCCAGGGTGAGGCCTGGGCACAGCCCAGCCTTGAGCACGCCCATGTTCTCTGCAGGCACAGGGAGCCAGAGTTGCTCGTCACATGGGCAACTGCTGAGTCCTCTCTGGACGCCTCTCGGCGCCGCTCTCTGGAGACACTGGCCGCGCGGGCGGCGAGAGGAGGGGTCGGCACTGAGGCACCGAAGCACGTCGGATGGGACCCGGCCCGCGTTCCCGCGCTCCCGGCGTTCCCACGCTCCCTTGCTCTCGGCTCGCCTGCTTCCTGGTTCCTGGGTCAAGACTCACGCGCCCGTGAGCCTGGTCTACAGCACCATCTGCTGACTGCGCGGGGCGAAACCACGGCCTTCAGCCTGTCCTCCGCCAGCCTGTCCCTCGTAGTCACACAGGACGCCCTAAGCAAAGCAAACCACATTGGCCAGCTTACACAACAGGCACACATGTTCGGATCTGCTTCCCACTTTTCCCTTCCACAACACCTCCCTCCCTATCTATCCTAGATGCTGGGGACAAAAAGTTAAAGTTACCCTCAGAGAGCTTCCATTTTAGCTAAGGAAAAAGGCAATGAAAGAATAACATAATAGGTAAATCAGGGAATTCTAGGTTATATGGTAGGCGTCAGGAAGAAGCAATGTACTTACAAATCCTTGATTTCTCTGTGTTTTTCAATGACACTAAAACCTGAATGTATAAAATACAAAAAATATATATGATTTGGTATTTTGTAATGGTTTTTGCTTGTCTGCTGGAAAAAATCAAACAACTTTATGTTATCTCTTCACAGTCCTATGATAGAGGGGCTCTTTTTAATCCCATTTCACAGATGAGGAAACCGAGGTGTAGTAAGGTTAACTCACTTGCCAAACGTTACACTACTAGAAAGTACAGAGGTGACCTTCAAATCTATATCTAAGTGCAAACACAGTGTCATCTTAAAAGTATCTGCCTCTCCTACCCCAAGTTGTTTATACCCTTTCCCATGGTAACAGTGGTTTCCTTGGGAGCAGAGACAGTGCCTGGTTCCCCTTTGTTTCTGCAGTGCCCCCACTGACACTCAGTACATACATAAAGGTACTTAGAGGTGAGGGGGTGGCAGGTTTATGATTCTAGCAGTATATCCTGGTCCCATGTGAGCTATGAACCATCTGGGCTTTCCCTCTGTCTACATAATTAGTCATCATGGGATTTCAGGAGATTGAGCCTCAGTGTTCATAAACAAAGTCTCTCGTACCCTGAGGCCCATGCCAGCACTGGCTACCTCTTAGGATCCCAGCTGCCTCTCTGCATGCCCAAAGCCCTCTCCTCCTTCCCAGGGCAGCGCTGAAGCGCACAGGTGTTAAGCATGTTGAGATCTTTAGGGAAAGGCAGAGTTGCTGTGCCAGCAGGGAATTAGAGCTGGAAGGGTCTAAGAAGTCACCTAGTCTTTTCCCTGACTCTACCCCATTCCGGACACTGGGCCTTGGTCTGGTCAGCCCCATAGCAAGCCTCCCAGCAGCAGCCCCCCAGCAAGAAGGAGGCCAGCCCCTAATTGTTACACTCTCCAAGTATTATGAAGTCAGCTGATTGCACCCTCATCCCACCCAAACTAAGGGTCAGTCCTCCGCACCCACAATTTCTCTCTGCTTCCCATCAGCTTGGTTGTCCTGTACAGTGACGGCTGGGGTCCCAAACAAACCAGATGGCATCAAAGGCGCTCTATCAAGTGGGAGATGGGGAGACAACCATGCTGAGAAAGGAAAACCTGAATGTTTTGAATGCACTCAATCAAATGCAGACGCCCTTTCCAAACTCAAATGTGAACCAGATCGTCACTAACAAAGGACTCCCGCTTGCCTCAAGGACCAGTTTGGTTAAATTCTTGGAGGAAGATACCATCAATATGCTGTAAGACCCAAGTCTGGTCCTTTCCTTCCTTATTTCGAAGACTGGAAGTGGGCGGTAGGCAGAGTGACTTAATCTATCATAACCCAGTCCCTGAACTCCCAGGCAAGAGGATTTATGTAGGTTGGGCCTGTCTATGTATTCCTGAGCCCGAAATCAGCTCTTGGAGGCACATGCACCTCCCACTCCAGGATTAATTAGAGATCTGCTTTACCTGCCCATGGCTTTCTCTCTCTCTCTCTCTCTCTCTCTCTCTCTCTCTCTCTCTCTCTC